GCGGCAGTAGTAGCCACCGCAGCAATAGTCACCACATGTGGCTGCACTTCGTCTTCTTGGTCTCCCTTCTCCCTTGAGAGACCATTCGCCGTCTCTGCCTGTTTCCGGTCCCAGGATTCCTCCCCTGGACGAGTCTCTGGCTTGTTCTCCTCCTTGGTAACTACTGTCTCCTTGTCTGCTTCCTTCCTCGTCTCTTGCCTCTACTCCCTGACACCATCGTCTCCCGGAAGCTCGCTTCTCGTCTCCTGTTCCTGATCTCCACTCCTTGTTCTTCCGTCCTCACTCCGTCGGGGGTGCTCCTGCCCTTGGTAATGAGGGGACACGCAGTTCGAGCTGGCCTTCCTTACGGCCGCTGCTCCTCACCTCTGTACCATGCTGCTAGCCCCTGAGGGAGACCCCGACGCTGTTGATATCCTGACTCCTCGCACTTACGCTGAGGCAGTCTCGGATGAGTGGGCCTCTCAGTGGATAGCAGCCATGTACTCAGAAATGGCATCTTGGAGATCCACAGGCACCTACGTCGACGCAGGACCTCCTCCCTGGGCAAATGTAGTCGATGGCATGTGGATCTTCAAGGTGAAGCGGCCGCCGGGATCGCCGCTTGTCTTCAAGGCGCGCTATGTGGCAAGAGGCTTTAGTCAACATTAGGGGGTAAACTTCTTACTGACCTTCTCCCCCACCCCAAAGATGGCCACTCTTCGGGTGCTACAGCACGTCGCAGCACATCATGACTATAAGTTGCGATCACTTGAGTTTTCTACTGCCTTTCTCCAGGGCAGCTTGCACAAGCAGATCTAGCTTCACTGGGACCCAATGGAGCCTTCAGCGGGCCGTTCACGATCTGCGCCAAGCTCCCAGGGATTGGCACGACACTCCATGCACTACTCTTGTTGACTTGGTTTCTACCTGTCTTTTGTCAACCCCTCTCTTCGTTCGCACGGGCATTACGCCGTTCTTTATCATTGTCTACGTCGACAACCTAGTCTTTGCTACTACAAACACGGTTGTTCTGGATTTAGTGAAGGCTGAACTGCTGAAGAGACACACTTGCACTGACCTTGGTGAGCTGCGACGCTATCTCGCCTTGCAGATCACCAGGGAGAGAGCAGCGCGCACCATCACTCTGACTCAGTCACACATGGTGCAACAAGTCCTTCAACAATTCCATCTTCATTTCTCCTTTTCACAACCCACTCCTCTCGATGTCGGTCACACGCTCTTGGCTCCTGTCCCTGACGAGTCGGTCGAGCCCAGTGGTTCGTACGTAGAGCTGGTAGGATGCCTCATGAACTTGGTGACTTGTACTCGCCCAGACCTCGCCTATCCTCTCAGCATGCTGGCTCGCTTTGTTGCGATTGGGAGACATCGCCTCGCTCAATGGACGGCCGCTAAAAGGGTAGCGTATTACCTGGCGAGCAAATCAGGCATAGGGTTTGTGCTGGGGGGACGATAGCCAGTCAGCCTCTCAAGACATACTGACGCTTCGTGGCCAGACAACTTCGAGACTTACAGGTCTTCTTAGGAATACTGCTTCAGCCTTGATGCAGGAGAAGTTCGTGAAGGTCCACTCGCTCGTCGTCAGCTGCTTCGTCCAGTGTTGAGGCCGAGATCTACGCCGATGCCATCATTGTTTAGGAGCTCCGATGGCTGACCTTCTTACTCACTGACTTAGGTGAGCGGCTTAGCTTTTCCCCGGTCTTGTACGCTTACAACAGGGCCATGATCCTCATGTGCCAGGAGCCTAGACTGAAGGGAAGGGTGAAGCACATCCAGCTGTGATACTTCCTACTGCGTGAGCTTCAGCGACACGATCTGGCACGCTTGGTTTTCGTGGCCTCAGAGGCCAACACCGTTGATATCTTCACCAAGGCACTCTAGCCTCGTTATCATCAGCGGTTCTTGACGCAGCTTGGCCTTGTTCCGGCCAGTCCTAACTCAACAGGTAGCTGATATTTGTACTTGCTTTGCCTTTGTCTTGCTTGTACACGTTGACCGACCTTGTGGTCTTTTGACTTGGTGGATGGGCTAGTGGTACCACCCTGAGTTGCATCTTGTACACACGATTTTTTTGTTAACTGTTCTTGTAACCACTTGTCTCAAAGGCCGCTCTGTGCTTCTCGACTGCCATACAATGTCTGCCCCTTACCTAGGTTAGGGGGTGTGGATAAGTGTATTTCTTACAGTGTGTTGTTACATCTAATAGCCTAGGTCGGGGTTAGGTATGTGTACCCATCTTCCTCATTCAGAGCATTACTTTTCTGTTTATGACAATAACCATGTTTCATGATGAACCTTCCCCTCCCATCCCTCATCTCCCATTTGTAAGGAAACAACTTTTCCTTACTTCGCATCGTATCGCATACCACGTACCACACTGTACACCGCCCGGGACCGAACACTGTTCCGTTACCTTCTCGCGACATTCGTATTGGCCATTGTTTCCGCCATCACGACCTCGCGCCAAACCACACGGCTCGGTTGGTTACCCGCATCTCGGCCCTACGCCTCGGGCATTTTCCCATACTGTACCCTACATTGAGGTTGTTTTTGCGTGTGATTATGGTGAGGGTGTAACCTGGATTTGTTTATTCGTCAATGTGACTACTAGGGCCCGCTCGCAACTGACCTTGCCCTGGGTTTCCTTGCATGATTTTGGCAAGCCCTACGATATCAGGATTTCTTCCCTGAAATTCCTAAGTTTCAGCCTACTTTGTGTACCTACACTGATTTTCCAGTGTGTAGATTTTTGTGATACTGATTTTCCAGCCTTCATTTCATAGTTAACACTGATTTTTCAGCCTTTTATCGAAGTGTACCCTGAATGGACATTCCTAATCCTTTCTGAAAAACGCCCGAGATGACCAGTACTTCAACAAGTATAGTTCGTTTAGCGTACAAACTGATTGCCCACAGCTAGGAGTGTCTCCGTTGTTAGTGAAATCGATGTCGAAGGGTAAGGTCTGCCGTTCGAAGCCCTGGGCTGTCATGTTTCGTAAGACCGTAATGATATCAAAGATATCAAGTGGGTGAAAATCAGAGTTTTTTCTTTAAGAACCCTGAAAAAACATGCTTTTTTTTAGGAACACTGAAAATCAGCCTTTTTTTCACAGGGATCCTGATGCATCAACGTCCCTAAAAGTGAATCTGAAGGCCTGGCCTCCACCAGAGCAGACCCTCAGGTGGATCTCCAAGGCGTGAAGGGACGTGCCTTCCATGTTTATTCAAAAGGCATTTTTATATCTTCAGCATTTGTAACGCCCTCGACAATTCCAAGGATGAGTCGTGCATGCAGTACATGAGAAACAGGGAGCAAGTGACGGTACCACTGATGATGTGGCAGCTGATGTTTTTTTTGGAAACAATGTGGACGAGCCATATTCTGGTGGCGATGACGAAGACCCCTGATGATCCCACGACTGCCCTGATGTAGTCCATGTCAGGATAGCTAACTAGTACTTACTGTAATCTCCCGGCAATAAGCCCCGGGGGTCTTTAAAAAAAATGTTTTAAAAAATGTTTGGGTGGAAAATAGAGAGTGCGGTTTTTGTTAAGACCCCTGGTATTTTTAAAGCTCCAGTATACATTTGTCAGAGAGGTTCAGGGTTTTACAGTGTGCCTCAGAGTCTTGGGGCAACTTTTCAAGTTCCTAAGGATTTTGAACTACTCCTTTCAAATGTATACCGGAGCTTTAAAAATTCATAAGACACATTCAAATCACACATGACACAGACAAATCACGTTTTATCGAGGGTGTTCAAAATGTTCCATGGCGCGGCTTCGAGTCTTCACGGTGGATTCGCCTCGGATTCGAATCCTGACAGCGATCCTGACACGGTCTGACACATTCTGACACGAAACTGACACGCGCCAACATTTCGTGTCTCATCGTGGGTCCGCCGAGCACCACGATGTGCACGTAACATCGCAAATTTGTTACTATTTGAACGATTTTGGTTAAAATCTAGCAAGAGGGAGGGTCTTATAATCAACAAATGAAAAAGGGGGGTCCTCACGGAAACAGCTCGAATAGAAGACCCGTAGTCCGGAAAGAGTACCCGGGGGCCTCTACGCGGGTGGGGGGGGGCTTATTTCCGGGAGATTACGGTAATTGTAACCCAGGACATTGTATGAAATCGTTGATCGACAGCTTGTTACGCCCTCCAAATAGCAGGAATATCAGGATGTGCTTATGAGATTGATCCACGTTCCAAGGTCAGGAAAATAGGTATGTAAATACATTTTCCATGTCAATAAATGGAGTTTCTGATTTTATGCTCAATTGGCAAAGCTCACTTTCCAAAAACGAATATCGAGTCCAAAAACGGGTATCCAACCCCTTTTCCTCCAAACGGTCTCATGTTCAGCCATTGAACTCTCGCGCAACAAGTTGGAGCAGGAGTTTGACGCCATTGCTAGGTGATTCCGAGCGACTTGGGACTTCTGTCGCTCACTCTTGCTCCCAGAAGGCGAAACGTGTGGGGTTCGGGATAGCAGTTGTGTGATTCCCGATCGCAAAATCCGAGGTAAAAGCGTTGAGGCACCATCACCGTTGCGAGCTCCACTGCCAACTGCGTCCAACTCTTTCCATCCCGCCCCTCCCCTCTCCTTCCCCGTCATCCCTCTTCCCGCAGTGTACGTTTCTCCCTCACCTCGCCGCTCCTCACGCCGTGATATTGCATTGCGCGTGTCGGCGATGCGCACAGTGGGCTAGCGAGCGACTCGCACAGCGGGCTCGTCGCTGTGCGTCTACCTTCCACGCCGCGCCCAGCCTCGCTCGTCTCCGCGCCTCTCGCGGCGAGCCAGCAGCGGCATGGCAGCGGCAGGGGCGGCCTGGCAGCCACCGCAAGCCACACTTCGAGTGCGTCAGGGGTTCCTTTTTGCTGCGCTGCTAGCGTTTTCCCTCGTATTTGCTGGTAGATGCTATCAGAAAGAATCAAGGAGCTTGCGTTGCTCCCTGTCGCACTGCTCTCTGCCAAGTATCTTTCGTTCATTTGCCATGCATGTGTGCCAAGCGGGTTGCTCCCTCATGCTGCCCCGCACCCCTGCAGGCACCGTTCGTGTGGGACGACGATGGCAGCGTGCCATCCGCCATGGCGTTCAACACGTGGCATCCGCGTTACACCAACCACCTCGCATGCGCCTCTGCAAACATGGTGAACCGCCCTGCATGGTGAACCGCCCTGCATGGTGAACCGGCCTGCATGGTGAACCGCCCTGCATGGTGAACCGGCCTGCATGGTGAACCGCCCTGCATGGTGAACCGGCCTGCATGGTGAACCGCCCTGCATGGTGAACCGGCCTGCATGGTGAACCGCCCTGCATGGTGAACCGCCCTGCATGGTGAACCGGCCTGCATGGTGAACCGCCCTGCATGGTGAACCGGCCTGCATGGTGAACCGCCCTGCATGGTGAACCGCCCTGCATGGTGAACCGGCCTGCATGGTGAACCGCCCTGCATGGTGAACCGCCCTGCATGGTGAATTGTTTCTCTCGTCCCGTTGTGCAGAACCGCTTCATTGCAATGCAAGTGCCTGATTCTCAACTTCGACTCCCTGCTGTGTGCGTGCCACTCCACCCCCCAGATCATGCTGTTGGAGTGCATGGGCGATGGCTCCATTGCGTACACACACACCTTCTTCCACCCCACCGTGAGTGCACACAGGAACACACTCTTTTCCATCCCACCGTGAGTGCACACAAGCACACCCACCCAGCATGGTTCTTATTTACTCGACAAGTAGTTGTTGACGCGCGGCTAGGGTGATATCACTTGTGTTTCAAATCCCACCCCTTGGGCCGTGCATGCCCACCCGTGGGCAGGAGAGGGCGCGCGAGGAAGCGGCACGCCCGATGGATGCGGCTCCGCCCAGCACAGGGGCGAGCACCCCGCCCAGCACAGGGCCCACCCCGCCCAGCACAGGGCCCACCCCGCCCAGCACAGGGCCCACCCCGCCCAGCACAGGGCCCACCCCGCCCAGCACAGGGCCCACCCCGCCCAGCACAGGGGCGAGTGGGCCCAACGCGGACAGCCCCGAAGCACCCACAGCTGATGTAACATGTGGTAACCAGGTACGTGACTGAGTGGCAGTGCAGGTGGTATCGGCACTCTCCATGTGCGGCACTCTCCATGTGCGGCACTCTCCATGTGCGGCACTCTCCATGTGCAGCACCATTGCCTGCGAGTGGGTGAGGGTGGGCAGGAAGCTGAGGTGCGTACAAACTGAGTTACAGCATATGGAGCGCCTTGCTTTTCCCTTGCCTAAGGGCACCCTTCTGCTGCTCTTTGCACTCACACTTGTTTGCATGCCTCTATGCTCACTTGCTTGTCTTGCGTCGTCCCATGTGAGTCCAGACAAGGGGAGTTGAGAGCTTTACAGCGGTGGTGTGGATGGTGGACGCGGAGGAGCGAGTGCTCGTGGCAGCGGGCGGCGAGCTGGGTGTTATCCGCATCGTTGACTTCCACTCGCGCCGCCCCTTCAAGGTGTGCCAGCGGTGCTGCATGGTTTGCATGCATGCTGGTCAGTCATCTGAATGTGAATACATGTCTTGCTCTCTCATGGTATCCCATGCCATCCCATGCCATCTCATGCCATCCCATGCCATCCCATGCCATCCCATGCCATCTCATGCCATCCCATGCCATCCCATGCCATCCCATGCCATCTCATGCCATCCCATGCCATCCCATGCCATCCCATGCCATCCCATGCCATCCCATGCCATCCCATGCCATCCCATGCCATCCCATGCCATCCCATGCCATCCCATGCCATCCCATGCCATCCCATGCCATCCCATGCCATCTTGATCCATCTTTTATCGGCCTGTCATGCAGACGCTGATGGGGCAGGGGGTTGCCATCACGGATCTCTGTGCGCATCCATCTCAGCCGTCCATTCTCCTCTCTGCCAGCAAAGTGAGTCACACACGTTTCAACCTCACTGCCTTACACTCAACCTCACTGCCTCACACTCAACCTCACTGCCTCACACTCAACCTCACTGCCTCACACTCAACCTCACTGCCTCACACTCAACCTCACTGCCTCACACTCACAACCTCACTCCCCCACAGTCAACATCAGCTTCTTAACACGACTCATGTTCACACGGCAGGTACCACTTTCCTTCACTCCCCCCCTCCCGCCCTCCGATTTCCTGCTCACATGCCTGTCGCCGCTCACCACCTGTCATTGCTCGCGCTCCACCTCCCTCTATAGCAACCCCTTTTCCACTCGCTCCCCCTCCATACTACTCTCCTCGATTCCGTTTCACCAACACCCCTTCTCGCCTGCATCCCTGATCGCCATACTGCTTTCTGCCCCCCATGCGAGCCCTGCACGGCGCGCCAGGACACGTCGGTGTGGGTGTGGCACGTGGGCAGCGGCGTGTGCTGCGCCATCCTCCTGGGCCTCCACCGCACACCCGTGCTCTCCGTGGTGCGGTCACGCAGGGAGAGGGGGATACGGCAGGGGGGTGGGGCATGTTGTGGCAGGGGGTGGGCATGGCAGGGGGGTGGGTGGGGCATGGCAGGGGGGTGGGGCATGGCAGGGGGGTGGGTGGGGCATGGCAGGGGGGTGGGGCATGGCAGGGGGGTGGGTGGGGCATGGCAGGGGGGTGGGGCATGGCAGGGGGGTGGGGCATGGCAGGGGGGTGGGGCATGGCAGGGGGGTAGGGATGATCCGTGCCAACGCTCTGTCTTCCTTGCTTCCTGAATTGCTTTGCTTGCATGCACTGCACTGGGTCTGCTGCTTCTTCTTTCCTGTTGCCTTGCTGCCTTCCTCCTTGTTTTCTCTACTCACCTTTTGTTTCGTGTGCATTCTTCACTGCTTCACCCCATTGACCTGCATGACCTGTTTGACCCGTGGGGGCAGGGCAGGACGTGAGTGGCATCGAGGGCACCACGGTGGTGACGGCAGGGGAAGACGGCAGAGTGTGTGTGTGGGACCTCAGAGGTGCGTGTGTAATCTGAGAGGTGTGTGTGGGACCTCAGCGGTGTGTGTGTGTGTGTGGAAGCTGAGAGGTGTGTGCATTCTGCTCTGATGCGCGCGTTCTCATGCGAAGGCTAACTCTAATTCTAGATATTCTCGTTCTTGTTCGCGCGGCAGCAGAGTGGACGGGAAGGCCCTCCGACTTCCCCACCAAGCAAGTCGTCCTGCCGGTGAGTGCTTGCTGCAAGTCGTCCTGCCGGTGAGTGCTTGCTGCAAGTCGTCCTGCCGGTGAGTGCTTGCTGCAAGTCGTCCTGCCGGTGAGTGCTTGCTGCAAGTCGTCCTGCCGGTGAGTGCTTGCTGCAAGTCGTCCTGCCGGTGAGTGCTTGCTGCAAGTCGTCCTGCCGGTGAGTGCTTGCTGCAAGTCGTCCTGCCGGTGAGTGCTTGCTGCAAGTCGTCCTGCCGTCTCTGCTGCACCATCTCTGCTGCACCATCTCTGCTGCACCATCTCTGCTGCACCATCTCTGCTGCACCATCTCTGCTGCACCATCTCTGCTGCACCATCTCTGCTGCACCATCTCTGCTGCACCATCTCTGCTGCACCATCTCTGCTGCACCATCTCTGTTGCACCATCTCTGCTGCACCATCTCTGCTGCACCATCTCTGCTGCACCATCTCTGCTGCACCATCTCTGTTGCACCATCTCTGCTGCACCATCTCTGTTGCACCATCTCTGCTGCACCATCTCTGCTGCACCATCTCTGCTGCACCATCTCTGCTGCACCATCTCTCACTCCCCGTGACTGTGCGCCCTCCTCTACCTCTTGCCGTGACGGCAGGGCTTCGTGGCAGCGAGGGTGCACGCAGCGCCAGTGCAGCAAGCCGCCACCTACGGGAGCCTCTTTCTGTCAATGGTGACGTCTGCGCACAGCCTTGCCACTTCCGTCTTCACACTGAGCCACACTTGCACAGTCATCTGTAATGCTACTTCTGAGTGAATGGCAGTGGTGCTGCTGCTCTTATAACAGCGGCAGTGCACGTCACTGCCGTGCATTGATGGTTGTTTACGAGGCACCTGCCTTGCCATCATGCCTGCTGAGGATGAGTATGGTGTGTGGTGTGTGCTGCAGTGCACGACAGGCGCAGTGCTGCTGTGGCGGTGGACCTTCGTGCCCGGGCTCGACATAAAGGAGGTGTGTATGCGGCAGCACGCAACGTCTGTGCCGCTCACTGTGCCGCCCACTGTGTCGCTCACTGTGCCGCCCACTGTGCTGCTCACTGTGCCGCCCACTGTGCTGCTCACTGTGCCGCCCACTGTGCTGCTCACTGTGCTGCCCACTGTGCTGCTCACTGTGCCGCCCACTGTGCTGCTCACTGTGCCGCCCACTGTGCTGCTCACTGTGCCGCCCACTGTGTTGCTGACATGGTCATCACGAAATGTTGTATCCTTGTTGGCTCTACGTCGCGCATCTTTGAATCGACTCCTAATCTTTCCATGGTGCATCACTTATGGTGCACCACCAATGCCTCTTTGCCATGCCATGCCGTGCCATGCCATGCCGTGCCATGCCATGCCATGCCGTGCCATGCCATGCCATGCCATTCCGTGCCGTGCCATGCCATGCCATGCCGAGCCATGCCATGCCATTTCGTGCCGTGCCATGCCATGCCATTCCGTGCCGTGCCATGCCATGCCATGCCGTGCCATGCCATGCCATTTCGTGCCGTGCCATGCCATGCCTTGCTCCCGCATGTGTTTATCCACTATGACTGCCATCTCTTGCCATCTCATGCCCCCATCTCATGCCATCTCAACCACTGCCTGTCCGTGTCCTGCCATGCATCCATACCTCCTCACCCACAGGGCACCTCTCAAACACTCCTCCACCTGCACACGCCTCCCCCCTCTGCTGCCCACCCACCCGCTGTTGACAACTCCACTCACAACCCACCCTCTCTTCCACGCCCCCCACGCTTCGCGATGACGGCCGCACGGCGCTTCCTCGCCCTCTGTAGGTCGCGCAGTGGGCATGCCTGTGTGGGGATCGAGGTGCCGCATTTCTCTGGGCGATTCCAGTTTCCATCACGTTCCACCACATTCCTCTGCTCTCCATTGCATTTCACTCCATTCCGCTTCATTCCGCTGCATTCAACCACATTCCACTCCTCTGCACTCGACCACAGTCCACTGCAGTGCGTGTCGTTCAGCTGCATTCCATTGTCTTCCACTGCGTGTGTTTCGTTACACATGATGACCTCTCATGCTGCGTTGCATGGTTGAGCGCACTGCCACAATTGAGCTGCGGGCAGCCCTAAGCAAAAGCAAAACAAAAGCCTCAAGCAAGCGAGGGGGCGGCATTAAGAGTGCTAGCTCTAGGCGGGGTTGTGCTATTTTCCTAATGCTTGCTCATCATCCCACGATGAAGTCAGCCCACCATGCCTTGCGGTGGCTGGGGTCGTGATGGCAGGGAGCGGCACGAGTGAAGTGAAGGTCGTGAAAGTGGCCGACCCCTCACAGCAGCTCAGGTGGGTGCAGCACATGGTGGGTGCAGCACATGGTGGGTCATCACATGGTGGGTCATCACATGGTGGGTCATCACATGGTGGGTCATCACATGGTGGGTCATCACATGGTGGGTCATCACATGGTGGGTCATCACAGCATGTGAGTGCAATAATTGAACGTCCTACATGCGCCCGTGCACCACTGCACCTGTTGCTACTCGTGTGATAATGCGTCATCCTCATTCTCATCACACCCGTCTTCCCCCCACTGCCTCTCTGCCTTGCAGCCTGCGCCCACCCACCACAGCGCCAATAATAGCCATTGCGCTTTCCCATGATGCCAGGTGAGCCCATGATGCCAGGTGAGCCCATGATGCCAGGTGAGCCCATGATGCCAGGTGAGCCCATGATGCCAGGTGAGCGCATGATGCCAGGTGAGCGCATGATGCCAGGTGAGCGCATGATGCCAGGTGAGCGCACATTTCAACTGCACCGTACCTGTCCAGCATTGCTGCTCGCGCATGCAACACTCATGCAGCACCTATCCAAGTGGTCAAAGGACATGAGTATCCCCTGCCAGGCTCTGTGCACCGCTCACAGCAGTGCGTGTGTGCATTGTGTTGCGTGCAGCATCGTCATGTGCTGCTGTGCCGATGGCCATCTGGACGACCTCACAACCATCGTGGTAGGCACCCCTGTGCTGTGCTTCTCACTCATGCTGCCAACACATGCATGCCTTGTCTTCCCTCGTCGGGCCTTACTAAGCACGATGAGCATTCCCTGCCGTCATTGCCCTGCACTGTGTGGGCACAATGAGCCGCCCTGCACTGTGTGGGCACAATGAGCCGCCCTGCACTGTGTGGGCACAATGAGCCGCCCTGCACTGTGTGGGCACAATGAGCCTGCCAGCGCTCATGGCGCTTCTGTCCCACCATGTGCGCATGTGTGCTGGGTGGGTGCATGATGCATGGTGCATGGTGCATGGTGCATGGTGCATGGTGCATGATGCATGGTGCATGGTGCATGGTGCATGGTGCATGCAGGAGGTCGTGCCAGACAGCGAGGATGAGTTGTGATGCCGCCTCGCCTCGCCTCGCCCTCATGCCACCTCGCCGTGTGGCCAGCTGTCTGTGTGGTCGCCTGCTCATCACTCACACGCTAGTCTGCCGTCAGCTCGCCCCTGGGGTTACTGTGTTTACCTGAACCAGGCCCTTTATTAGGATTTAGGGCATCCTGAGGCCTCAAGGCAACTCTTTATTTGTTTTCAGAATGCCATGATGATCTTTTAGGGCAAAGTTTCATGGCCTTGTTGATATTCATGGCACATGCAGGACTTCATACTGTGCTCTTAAGGCAGGATGATCACAGCACCCGAATGAGTACAACAGCGCTACCCTACCACAGTGCGCACTCCAGCGCAGATAGTTCGCAAGGGTTTGTTGTGAGACGACGGGACAAATTCCTCTGGGAAACTAACCCCCCTCCCTCTTCCTCTCCCATCCTCCCCCACTCTCATTCTGTATAATCTCAGGGCAAAATGTCAAAACCATCCTGAATTTCAGGCCAAAATATAATGTCAACATTTTCAGGGCAAACTCATGACAGCACCCTAAACCTTGGACTCGGGTGAACATTATAGGGGAAGATTTATTTATAACATCCAAGGAATTCTGTAAGTACAGTAATCCAACTTGGCCAACAGCAGTCTTTTTGCTGATGCATCCGCAAACAAGGAAATATCATTACTATTTGTCTGTTACAGATCTAAAGGGAAGGGACATTGTCATTATTTGCCTGTTACAGGTTGAAAGGAACACACAAATCTACCACACTCTAATTGCACCATACGTAACAACACACTGCTATGGAAGGGCAAGCAATGACCTTATGGGTCAGTAGGTTACGTATCTCTAAACAGAGGCACACCTGCACACAGCCCTGTTAGTTATTCAAACTCTTATTTCTAGCTATCAAACGGAATCACAAGTGTGGAGCATGTCAGTGGGCAGCCATTTCACCAAAGCCGGTTTCACTCACTTAGCCTTGTCGGGCGTCGCCCCTGCCTGCGCCTTCTTCTTCTTCTTCGCCTGCTTGCCTGAGCTGCCTGCCTTCGCCTCACCGCCCGGAGTGCCAGCAGCAGGAGTACGGGCAGGAGTACCGGCAGGAGTACGGGCAGCAGCAGGAGAAGCAGCAGCGGCAGCAGCAGAGGTCGCTGGCGCGGTAGCAGGCGAAGCAGCCACGTGCTCGTCACCCTGCTTCCTCTTGCGCCTCTTGCCTGCGCTGCTGCCGCCACCCGCGCTGCTGCCGCCACCCGCGGTGCCCTCGTCCTCCGCCACCTTCTCCTTCCCCTTGCCCGACTTCTTCCCCGTTGCTTCCTCCTCCTCACGCCCCTTGTCCTTGCTCTTATCCTTCTTCTCATCCTCTTTCTTCGCCTCTTTCGTTTTTTCCTTCTCCTTCTCCTCCCCATCCTCCATCACCGCGTCGCCCAGCTGAATTGGCACCTCCTCAACTTCCTCACCTTCCTCCCTCTCCTCACCTTCCTCCCTTTCCTCGCCTTCCTCGCGCTCCTCGCCTTCCTCATGCTCCTCGTGGTCCTCACCATGCTTCTTCCCCTTGCCCTTCTTCTTCCCCTGCCCGTTCGCCTCGCGCATCTCGTTCCACCGCCGCCGCGCCATCTGGTACGCCTCGCCGGGGGTGGAGGCGGCGCGCTGCGCGAGGAGGCGGTCGCGCTCCTCGGAGAGGAACTGCGTCATCGCCATCTGCACGGCGGACAGCGGCCGCTTCTCCTTCTTCGCCTTCTCCTCCTTCCCGCCGCTCGGCCCCGCAACCGCTTTCGCAGCAGCAGCAGCCGCGGTAGTTGCGGCGGGCGGTCCGGCCCCGGGGAGCGAAGAGGCGGCGGCGGCAACTGCGAGAGCTGCGGCCTTGAAGTGAAGCGGGTCGAAGCTGGGATAGGCGGCGAAGGTGTTGAGCAGCGGACTGATGGCCGATATGGCCACCCCGTCTGCCGGCGGGCACGAGAGAGACGTGAATAGGGGAAAGATGCAAGAGGCTTGACAACGTGCAACGCGGACAATAATGCAGCTCCGGCGAATGCAGATGAAACCACTTGGTCGTACCACGTGCGGGAAAAAACGAGGACGAGCACGCGGGGTGAACGAGAGAGAAAAACCCGATCGAGGGCAGAGACGAATAAGATCGCATGTGGCTACGCATGCGCAAGTGCAGAACGAACGGCCGTGAGGCAAATGCAGGCGACGCGGCACTTACCGGCGGCGAGGCGGCAGAGCGCGGAGATCTCGCCGGCCACCACCTGCATGGCCGTCGACGCGTTCGCCACCTGCAGGAAGAACTGCCGGTTCGGCACTTCCCGCCGCTCGCCACTACCGCCTGACCGACCATCCTCGCCGCCTGCCTGCGCGTTGCTCTGCCCGACCATGGCTGAGTTGACAAACAGGAAAGCGCGGAGATATCTAGAAGATGAGGCTAGGATATTTCATCGAAATGGAAATAGATCTGGGAGGGAGTGGACATTTGAAGTGATTGGAACAAGCGAGGCGGGGTGAAGGCGGAAGCGGGAGTGCGGTCGGGGGAGCACGACGGAGGGAGGAGGCGATGGGGGTTTAGGGTCTGGCGCACGGCGAGCGATGCAGCAGAGCGCGCACAGAATAAGAAAAGCACGTCCAGCTGGTGAGGTACGTGATCGGAGCATTTCCACATTTCTACATGTTGCTACTAAGCCTTTAAAAAATGTCAGAACTCAGCTAATGATAGTTGCGTGGAAAACATCATTATTGGATGGAATCTCCTGATCAAGAATCCTTTATTTGCGTATGTGTTGTCAAAAAAATCATTTGTGTTTTTAATTCCAGGGTAAAAAAGAACAAGACGATGACTATGTGTTAAAATCTTAGAGGGAATGAGGTTATTAGTGTCAAATGTTGTTATTTGTTGTAGGCAACAGTGAGGTGCTCTTTAGTGAGTACAACAGTTTTAGGGTTTCCTATTTGTACCCCTTCCTTTGCTAATCACAAACATTCCGTTGCATTCCTACTTTGAGATGGTATCACGAGTAGGTTAGTTCCTCGTTACTTCCTAGCCCGCGCCCTCTCTAGCGCACCTCCGCGCCCTCCGTACCCTCCGCGCCCTCCGCGCCTTAGCCTGCGTGCCCTCCGCGCCCTCTCCACGGCCTAGCGCCCTCCTCCTCCGCGCGTCAGCACCCTCCGCGCCCCTAGCCCATGTTTTCGGCCCGCGCGCCTTAGCGCCCTCCGTGCCCCTAGCCCGCGCCGTCGCGGACCTCCGCGCCTAGCGCCCTCCGCACCCCTAGCCCGTCGCCCAGGCCCGCGCCCTAGCCCGTCGCCCGGGCCCCCGCCCTAGCCCGTCGCCCAGGCCCGCGCCCTAGCCCGTCGCCCAGGCCCGCGCCCTAGCCCGTCGCCCGGGCCCCCGCCCTAGCCCGTCGCCCCGGCCCGCGCCCTAGCCCGTCGCCCAGGCCCGCGCCCTAGCCCGTCGCCCAGGCCCGCGCCCTAGCCCGTCGCCCCAGCCTGCGCCCTAGCCCGTCGCCCCAGCCCGCGCCTTGGACCGTCGCCCCAGCCTGCGCCCTAGCCCGTCGCCCCAGCCCGCGCCCTGGCGCGTCGCCCCAGCCCGCGACCTAACACGTCGCCCCAGCCCGCACCCTAGCCCGTCACCCCAGCCCGCGCCCTAGCCCGTCGCCCCAGCCCGTCGCCCCAGCCTCGCAGGCTGCGCGTCGCGCGAGTAGCGCGCCCCGCGGGTAGCGCGCCCCGCAGGCAGCGCGCCCCGCGGGTAGCGCGCCCCGCAGGCAGCACGCCCTGCAGGCAGCGCGCCCCGGAGCGCTATAGCGCCAGATATATATATATATTTTTTTTAACCCTAAAAAAAAGAAAAAAAAGGTTTAGGGTGGGGGCCTGCAACTGTCGCCCGCGTTCCTGCTTGTCGGACGACCTGCACAGCTGCCTTCCCGCAGCCGTCAGTACTGCAGCCCCTACTGTCGCACGTACTTTCCACTGCAAGTGGCTCTACTAGCGGCAGCCGACAGCCGCACTTACGGTCTCTAGCTCCGGCCGTTCCTACCTCCAGCCAGCCCTAGCTTACCGTTTCTAGCTCCAGCCAGTGTGCTCCAGCCGTTCTAGCTCCAGCTGTTCTCGCTCCAGCCGTTCTCGCTCCTCGCTCCTAGCTCAGTTTGCTCCGTGCTCTGGCCGTTCCTCGCCTAGTTTCACCTGGCGCTCCTAGCTTAGTTCGCTCCGTGCTCCAGCAGTTACTCGCCTAGTCACCTGGCGCTCCTAGTTGTTCTCGTTTTTCACTTCAGCCGTCCCTAGCTCCTGTCGCTCCTAGCCTGCCGCTCCTGCACCCCGCTAGCTTTTATCATGGAGTCCATAGGGTTCTCCAGCAGCAGGGACAGCAGCAGCGGCCGTTTCAGCAGTGGCTTCCGCAGCAGCAGGGGCGCCCTCAGCAGCTGTGGCGCCCTCAGCAGCCGTGGGGGCCTGGTGGTTCAGGTAGCGTTGGCTGCAGCAGCGGCTCAGCCACCTGGGGGGCTCGTCGCGGTGGCCGCGACGTCGGCCCCTGCCAGTACCGGATCCTAACCGGCCCTAATCCTGACACTACCTGCTGGCGTCCTGACCACTCTGCACAGCGCTGCTACAGCCGCCTCGACGACCTTTACCGTGAGCGTTTTGGGCCTGAGTCGGCTCCCCCGATCTGGCCCGGTCTGTTTCGTAGTGGTTACCCTATGTTTGATATGTCTATGGATGCTGTTTATTCTGTCACGTATGAATCTCTTGACTTACGTGTACCTAGCTTAGGACCTTTGCCTGTTGCTAGTGTCGGTACTTGTGCTTCTAGTGTAGGTGCTTGTGTAGCCACTAGCCCAGCCGTGACGACTGCTGTTGCGTCGCTCTCCTTCACGCTGGACTCCGGCGCGTCTCAGTGCTTCTTCCGCGATCACACCACTGTCACACCTCTTTCGGCTCCAGTCCTAGTTGCCCTGGCTGATCCTACTTCAGGACCAGCAGTTACTCGCAGCTCGACCACTCTCCTGTGCCCAGCTGTCCCCTCTGCTTTCCTCACTGGTCTCTACATCCCCTCGTTCTCTCGGAACTTGGTGGGTGTTGGATACCTTCAGGACCGGGGGATCACAGTCACTTTTCCTGCGCACGGGAGGACTGCGATCTGTACGGACGCTTCCACAGGGGCAGTTCTTGCCATGTTCACCAGAGAGCCCCACTCAGGTCTCTTTGTCCTGCACATTCCGCCCCCGCAGGTAGCTGTGTCTGGTCAGGTTGCTTCGTCCCCCCCGGTAGCAGAGTCCGGTCAGGTTACTGCGTCCCCACAGGTTGCTGTGTCCGGTCAGGTTGCTGTGTCCGATCAGGTTGCTGTGTCTGGTCTAGTTGCTGCGTCTTGCTCGTGTCGGTCTTTCACCCATCGGACCGTCTTGTGGCACCACCGTCTTGGCCACCCGTCGATCCCCCGCCTCCGCACTATGGCTAGTCACCGTCTTGTTTCAGGTCTCCCTCGCGTCTTCCCGTCGCTCCCTCCCTCGCATGCGCCGCCGTGCACTTCTTGCGTCGCCGGCCGTCTTCGTGCCACTCTGCACTCCTCCTCCCTTCGTCCGGCCACTGCTCCCTTCCAGACACTCCACTTGGATGTCTGGGGCCCTGCACCTACGCAGGGACCTGAGAGGGAGCGCTACTTTCTGGTGGTCGTCGACGACTTCTCCAGGTACACCACGGTGTTTCCTCTCGCGAAGAAGTCCGAGGCGACTTCTACGTGATCCGGTGGCTTCTAGCCACTGAGGGCACTCGTGGCCGTCGTGTCTCCTGTCTCCACTCTGACCGTGGGGGTGAGTTTCGCTCAGGCATTCTTGCCGGATTCTGCGGCGAGCAGGGCATCGTACAGTCCTGGACGCTGCCGGAGTCCCCACAGCAGAATGGGGTTGCTGAGCGCCGCATTGGCTTGGTCATGGACATCGCCCGCACGTCCATGATTCATGCCCGTGCGCCCCAATTTCTGTGGCCCTACGCGGTTCGCTACGCCGCTCACCAGCTGAACCTCCAGCCGCGCGTCTCGCGGCCAGAGGCTTCACCGACCAGTCTTTGGACCGGGTCCCCTGGTGTTGGGTCAGCTTTTCGTGTCTGGGGCTGCCTTGCGATTGTCCGCGACACCTCTGCGGACAAGCTCTCGGCTCGCGCAGTCCCCTGTGTCTTCCTTGGTTTCCCGGTAGCCTCGACCGACTGGTCCTTTTACCACCCGCCCCTCCACCAGTTCCTAGACTCCCGTGACCTCCGGTTCGACGAGTCAGTGTCCTACTACACCCGGTACCCCTGTCGAGGTCTCCCGGTTCCCCCTCCCCCCCTTTTCCTCGCACCTTCTCTTCCTCCTGCTCCCGCTCCTCCAGTACCCCCACCCCCCCCTGGTCCTGCCCCGTCAGGTGTGTCTCACGCTACCCCTCTACCCTCGGTCGCGCGTCAGGTAGCGTCTCCCTCCCCATAGTCCTCCTCACAGTCCCCTCAGCAGCCTTCGGTACTTCCGCGACAGGTTACTGTGGACTCGGTTGGTGTTGGAGCTGGAGGTGCAGCCACTGGCGGTACTCGGTCTGGGGGTGCTCGTTCGAGGGGTGCTGGAGTTGGAGGTGCTGGCGCAGGTGGCGCTAGCCCTGGGGGTGCTGGAGCTGGAGGTGCTGGCACTGGAGGTGCTAGTTTTGGGGGTGCTGGAGCTGGAGGTGCTGGCACTGGAGGTGCTAGTTCTGGGGGTGCTGGAGCTGGAGGTGCTGGCACGGGAGGTGCTAGTTCTGGGGGTGCTGGAGTTGGAGGTCCTGGCACTAGGGGTGCTAGGACAGGGGGCGCTGGAGCTGGGGACCCTGACCCGGTTGGTACCTCTTCTGGGGACACTGGTACTGGGGGTGCTAGTTCTGAGGCGACTGGAGCTGGGGCCACTACGTCTGCGGAGGGCACTCCGCCTCCCCACCGCCACGACACGCGTTACCAGGTGGCCTGCCGGCGTGCGCGCGAGGAGCAGGAGCGGTTGGAACGGGAGCGGCAGGAGTTACGGCAGTTGGACCTGCTGGAGCAGCAACAGCAGCGGCAGCGGCAGCAGCAGCAGCAGCAGCGGCAGCCGCAGCAGCAGCCGCCGCAACCACAGCAGCAGCAGCAGCAGCAGCAACCGCCGCCGCCACCGCAGCCGCAGCAGCTCCCTCTGGAGCGGCAGTTGTTCCCGCCCGTGAGTGGCCTCCGGGCCCTTGGTCTTCCCTCCTCTCCTCCTGTCCGCTCTCCTTCTCCTCCTGCGTTTGGTCCTACGTTTTCTCCTCCTGACGCCCGTCCGGCGGTATGGTCTTCTCCTCCACCGCAGTCTCCTCCTCCTGTTGTCCGTCACTACCGTTCCCGTCCTTGTCCTCCGAGTGCTCGTCCCTCGTCCCCCGTTACCGACCTC